AAAGACTGCAAAGGCTGAAAAATCTTGAAGTCTGTGTGAAATTGGAGGTAGTTTGAGGATTAAATTTTTATGCTTTTTAAGCTAAAAAAAAGTGTCGGGGGGTCGTATTATACATGAGATCGTATTATACACGTATAAATATGATGTGTGTATATATATATATAAAATTTGTGAGTTTGTGTAATATCCGTAAATACTGGTTATTAGATATAACAGCAATATTAATATCGTATATCAATATCAGCTGAAATTTTCATTACGGTGTATCCCTAACCAGGAGAAAAAGTTTTGGAGAGAATAACTGCTGAAAACAGACAGGTGAGCTGATTATAGTGAAGCCCTGATTTTTGCCGGTGTTACGCTCTTAGACTACTCGAAAATTGTCATAAATTGTTAATAAGATGCGGTCCAAAAAAGACCAACTGGGCATGGCACAGTAATTTATCTTTGGGTGTCATCGTAACGTGGTAAGAACCAAACATAAATAGTAAAGTGTTAGAAATGCTGTGCTATGGGCAGAACGTCAGCAGGACATGCATCATGAACTGTTCTGCACTGTACTGTAATGCTTTTTGTTTTTTATGGAATTGAAAGTTTGTTACAAAATTAGTAAATTGTATTGTTTTTAAAAATTGTTCTTGAAAAGCTCACAAAAATGTTCCTTACTGTGCTGTATTTCCAGTTTCTTCAAAATTACGGAGATGACCAAAAACTACTAGTAGTTGTATGAAAAATTCTGTTAAACACAACTTTACTGGGCTTTACTGTATAGATGAAACAGGTGGGAGTTGAACTGGAAACAAGAATTTCTGAGGAAATTGTCAATAGACAAACATTTTAATGTGCTATGTATTGTCATCAATGCATATGTTACCAGCTATGTAAGCACTCGGGGAGCAGTTAGGGATTAGGTATCTTGCTCAAGGATACCATGGCATATGGGTATGGGTGGTTAATCGAACCTGTGACTTTATGGTTCCCAGTTGGCTGCTCTACTCCGGCACTACAGCCTCCTTTATTTTTTAGACAAAATGTGACCTATTGACCTGAACGCTGCCTAAAAATGATAAGAATGTTAAAGTTAAAACTTGCAACACCTCTTTGTTGCACAGTTTGGGAAGTAGCAAACTTGACTTGAGCTTCAAAGACAAAAGGAACTTAGTGTGACATTTGTGTGAGGAGCTGTTGCTTGACCCCCCACCCCCTTCTTCTCACAGATCTAACAAGTTATCAGTCTCCAGCACTGACCTTTCTAAACCAGACACATCTTTGAACACGAGACACATCTTGGCTACATGTGATTTCTTTCCACCTTTTGTACTTAACAAACATCATACTTTCTGTCAGTCAATAAACGTTCAGTCTGGGTTCACATCACATGGTAACACCAAGTCTAACTAGGATCATTGTGTATTTTCTGGTGTGGCTCCTCCTTCACCTTTCAGATTCCTCCGCTCGCTGGCCAGCTCGCTTCCCTTATACATGACTTTAGCGTGGATCTACTCGGTGGCCATGATCGTTAAAGGTATTGTTGCAGAGAAAGAGGCGAGGTTGAAGGAGACTGTGAGGATCATGGGCCTGAGAAACTCCATCTATTGGCTGAGCTGGGAGGTGTCCAGTTTGCTGCCGCTGGCTGTTAGCGCCGCCTTCCTCACTCTTATACTCAAGGTGATTTAACAATGATTTATAACTGACTTTAAAATGAACTAATGCTGGTTTTGGAGAGTTTGGGCCATCTAACTGCATCAATTTAAATTAAACAATCAGTGGTGGGCACAGTATCACTAACACTGGAACTAGCTTCTCATTTTGCACATTAGCTTTTTTGCTACCTTTGGAAGCTATTAGTAAACCGATTAGCTTTATAGTATTTTACAGTACTTGTTAAAAAAAACGATCTAGGATTGTTTTCATTCTGAAAGGGTTAAACTGGAAGTATCACAAGTTAGACAGAACTATAAGTGGTTTGGATTGGCTGACATGACACAAATAATCCCACCCAACTTCAAACGAAACCAATAAAAAACTAACTACAGGTTGGCGTCAGTCCCATCCCTCTCCAACTGTCTTAGCCATTAGCATTGGCTTCCATTAACTTTTGTATGTGTTTATCGGTTTAGCGTTAGCAGAGCTAAAATTCATGTTTAGTGAATGAGAGGCTAGTGAACATAACTTTTTTGTTTAGCTGTGCCCACCCCTGTAAACAATCTATATAAGTTGAATTTGAAACTTTATGTATATCACAAATTTAGCTATTACAATGATAGAGATTATACAGTTATTATTAATGCAAAAGTGACTTTTTGAATTGGTCACAAGAACGTTTTGTTATAGAGTGGACAACTGATGGGTCTCAAATAGCTCTCTAAAATTAGAGAAGGGTCCTCTGTCACACAGCCACAGTAGAACATGTCCTTGAACATCCCTTCATGTTAGAAATGTACAAGCATTTGATGGAATAAAACCATATACTGAGACCCGACAAAATCACACAAATGAACAAATGGGAGCTAAACTGGTACCTCTCTGTTCATTTTAGATTTCCTGAAAGTGTTATCAACCCGAGCAGATGAAAATGCCTCGACATGGCAGGTTGTTAGACTACAACCAATCAGAAAAATAAAACTGCAAAATGTGTGTCCAAGTGTACAAAAAGCTGCTGGAAATCTTATTTGAACAGGAGAGGGGCCAGTCGTGTTCCGGAATGCTTCTGTCTGGTGTGCKTTAAATAAAATCTGTCATGATAATCATATTTTTCCCAAAACTTGATCACATCTTGAATCCTCAAAAGCTTTTCCAAACTAACTTCTTGCCCCCCCCCCCCCCTATTTCACTTATTAATTTTTTGCCCACAGTACGGCAAAGTGCTCCAGTACAGCGACCCCTCTGTAATCTTTGTCTTCCTGCTGGTGTTCTGCCTGGCCACCATCTCTCAGTGCTTCTTCATTAGCGTCTTCTTCTCAAAGGCCAACCTAGCAGCGGCGTGCGGTGGCCTCATCTACTTTCTCCTCTACCTGCCGCACGTCCTCTGCTACGCCTGGAGGGACGTCATGGGTTTCGGGGCCAAGGTCGCCGTGGTAAGTCCGTCTTTAGCTTCGACAAAGATTTTTTTCTCTTTCTTTTTAAATGTCTCTCTCACCCCCTGCTGTTATCATAGATTAACAAGTGACTTTACTCCGAGTTTTATTCCAAGGTTATGTTTTTGCCACTTTTAATCACAATTTGTCCGTCATGGTTTTTCTTCTCTTATCCATTTCCTGTTCTCCTTTATTTTTAAATTATTTTTTATACTAAACCCAGCCGGCCACAAGTCTGATTTCTCTGCTGCTGTTTATTATGAAAGGAAGCGAGTTCACCTCTAGTGCCAGCAATATCTGCCTTAGATTTGTTATTGCCTATGCAAGATAATAAAATGTGAGCCCTGAGCGTTTCAAATGAATTAAGAATTCAAGTTACATTAAAACTGCAACCCAGTTGCTTGTCGGGAATGTTTTTACTATTCATGAAGTCRCTATACTTTTTTTGTTGTTGTTTGTTCAGTCATATTTCACAGAAACGTTYTCAATTGACAAATGCATGAAACATTAACATAAAGGAAAAGACAAGATACCCGCCCAGAGGAAGTTGGGGATTGTCTTTCATTCTCTGAGGGATCAAGATAAACAGTGTACCATTGCTCAACTTTCAGTGTAGCCTTTCTGTGTGACCTTTTATAGCAGCACCGGTATCATTTGTCCTCAAGCTGTCTTCCTGCAGACAAAAGCACACAGAATCTAGAATCTTGATTGCTGTGTGTGTGTGTGTGTGTGTGTGTGTGTGTGTGTGTGTGTGTGTGTGTGTGTGTG